GCAATCGGAGTGATGGTTATAACATTTTTGTAGAAAGGGAGAGATAGTGGTCATCAAAACTTGATAGCAGAGAACAGACGTTACTTTTCCTGTCCTAATTTCTTTGAGCCATCACTGCTGATTTCGTGCATAAGCCAACATAAACAGGTACATAAACATACAGAGACAGACACACTTACAGGCTTCGAGGTTGATCTATGACCATAACTAACCAAATCTATTTATACCTGATAAAAGAGGGCAGAATAAAAGTATATATAGAGCTTCTTAAGGATTTTCTGGTGAGTTTCATTGACTCGTTAGCTTGAATTTGGTTGTAACGATGATACCTTGCTCTGGCGACGGACGAAAGCTTAGTACCTTTTCACCGGAATCGAAGGAGATTGCCTCGGAAACAGCGTCAACATGAATTTTTCAGTAAAGCCAATCGACAGCTGATGAAGAGGAATCCGCCCTCGTTTTCTGGTGGAATCGACCTTCTAATCTCTTCACCAAACACTTTTACTCGAAATGGAAGTAAGCTCAATAGATATAGGATTGTTGGGCTAATTATCTTTCATACTGGTCCTGCTACTATTCTAGTATGTGTGTGAGAGTGCGCGTGCGTTAACGCCTATACGTCCAAAATGAAAGGTATCAAAAAAGGATAATGATAAGCTCTGGTCCTCGAGGACCCAAGAAAAAGCACTAACCGAGACTGCGTAATTCTGTAAGCAATTATGATTAAGATAATGAGATGTGAGCTTGTAAGTCTGTAAGTTAACTTACGAAACCAATTGTCCTAACATCTCAGTATAGGGTCACTAAGGCCCAAGTAAAGGCTTGCTTAATCTCGGACTTCTGGTTTGTTTGATGAAATTAATCTAACATATCAAACGAGTGTGAGCAAAGTTAGTATCATCCCTGAGCGGACAAGTTGAGTCGCCTTCTTTTGAATGGTGGCTCAACATCCTTTCTCCTTCAACCTAGCAATCAAGCTTATGTAATTCGTACTCAACTTTCTGCCAGCATTCCTCACATTCAACGTATTCCATAATCTATTAATTTCAATAGTCTCTCTTATCTTCTTTTAACATCAAACGCACCATAACCAGCAAACTTACTCGTTTGAGACCATTCTATATCATACACAATCTCTGCCATGTGTTCGACCACTTCTGACCCCTGGACCTAGCTCCCCAGTCTTCATCGAATATGCCAGTATACCTCACCAACATAAGGTCGGCAACAGATGAAATCGATCTACGAATCTCTCCTTCATGCATTTCCATAAGAAATAAAGGTCTCCCTAACACTGTTATCGCAGGAGATTCATCTAAGCCCAGTCACTCTTCGTATCTACAACTAATGCCTTAAATAACTTTATTTATGCAATATAATTAATTGTTTTTTGGTAAGAAATCTGGTTAAGGCGATCTCTAGATTAATCTATCCCTACAAGATAAAAAAAGATTAATAAAGTCCTTCTTAAGTCGAGTTATCTTGGGAAACTGGAAAGCTCTAAGATTATTCGAAAGTATGAAGAACAAGATGGTGTGACCTTTTGTGCTGTCGCAGTCTCCTTTCGTAGCATAGGGGTTGTTTGACCCTGTTTTAGCAACTTGGTCATATTAGTAGGAAGACTTAGAGGAACACACCTAGTCCGGAGTCCATTGTATGCATGATATTTTCCAGAGTAGGATGAGTTGTTGTGTGGTGCTAAAAATAGCGAAACGCACTGACGATGCCGGCGAAACGTCTGGCAATGTACCACGTCTGTGGTCCAACTTTGGAAATGATCATGCATTCAATGGACTCCGGACAAGGTGCTTTCCTGTAAGTCTTCCTACCAATATGACGAAGTTGCGAAAACAAGGTCAAAGTGCTATCTTTTTGGTGCAAAAAATACCTCACTGGCGTTAAGCAAATGTTGCCAGTTCTGACAGTCTAAATCCCTGAACAGTTATCGCAAAGGCACTGTCTATTTTCACATGATAGTCGGAATCGACGAAAGGATTGGGCATATTATGCTAATACACCACGCCTCATGAGTTACATGTTTAGATTACAAGACATCGAGATAGGAGAAAAGATATGATACAGCGGACTACGCAACGCTTTATTTACTCATATTGTAAAGCACGATTTAGAGTAAAAAATTACTTTTACACGAAAAATACGATAGAAAAGCAAATTTAATCGGTGGTTAAGTCTCCAATGTCATATTTATCAAAGAAGCACGCTCGGTTCAACAAGAAAAAGAAAGGCTTCGCCAGAAAGTTCGAAGGATGGGCATATTTGGCTGTTGAGACAATCGCATTTTCAGTCAATGAAGTCTGTCATGTCTGCCGTAATTCGGATAAACATTCAAGCATTCAAGTTGCAAGTCTGTTCTCGCGGCATCACATAGAACTCTGGCAGCAGGTACAGATGATCAGACTCTGGTGGTTACCTACGGCGAGGATGGCAGCGAAATGGGGGCGATCTGGATCAATTCGGCCAAACTGTATAGCAGTGGCTAAAGAGGACGAGGAGAAGGAGTCTACCCCACATGACACATAAAAAGAACTGTCAACAGCCAGCTGAGACTGATGCAAACGGCCACCTCGGCTAGTCTGCAATATAGTCGAGCATCGGATAAGCAAAGGGATACCTGCTCCCAGCACATGATCGCAGCTTCGTGTCGATAAGCCAACATTGATTCAGAGCGAGTTACTCAGGAGCCTACAGAAGGACCAAGTTACTGTCGACTTCTTCAATCCTACCCCAGCCAGCCTGACTTTGACATCTGCAGCTCTAGTTGGTAGGGCAGCAGAAGCTGAATCCTCTCTTCGTAGAAGTACAACGAAGAAAACAAAACGCCGTCTCATCCAAGAACTCCTAATC